ACTTAGTTTGTGAAACAGAATTTAGCCCAGTCTCTGTGACGAATTCCCGACCGTTGCTGCTACCTTGACGTGGTGGTCGGGCTTGCCTATCGTGATGATTCAATCGAGCTATGCTGGCTGGAACAATCGTTCCTCAAGGTCCTACCTATGCCAGACAGGTCGTTTGAAGAGCGGTGAGACTAAAAGCAGCAATCCCAAGGTCCGAAGGCGAAGTCGTACTGCTGACTGTACAGAGGTGTGACAGCAGTAAGGTGTTTCCCTCAGACAACCAGCATGACAGCGATGCTGCCCTCCCACAAGGAGGGGAGGGGTTAGAAAGGGTCGACCCTAAAAATCACACCTCTCCTTATCCCACGGATTTCCGTCTCCGGCGGTAAGGTTTTTTTGAAGAACGGAGCTAACACAAAAAGGTCGTGTGTGACCGACCTCAAGCAGTTGTCCCTTGGGCACTGTGGTCACGCTCTCAGGTCATTAAGACCACTTCTAACCCAATTTCCTTTTCAGGCACCCCTAGAAGGACTCTTCCACGGTGTGGGTAACCGGGAAGTGATAACTGCCCTCATACCTCTAACAGCACTCAAGACCTGTGACGAATTGACGAACTTGTGCATCGAATATAAGTTAACCCAAATGAGTAAAAGACCACATGGGAAATAACGTATCGGAACAGGAAAAGAAAGTTAGTAATGTTAAAGGGTTGTTCAGACATTCCAAATGTTGCTTTAAAAAGGTCCTTTAATATTTTGTGAAGTTGAAAATAAACGAGTTAATTACAGTCATGAATATTTATACGTAAACTGACTGATCACAATATGGTGTAGGACATCAACGTTGATAATCTATGTCGAATGATTGGAGGCCTACTCGAGTTAGACGGGGACGGTGTAACGAATAAGCTAACTTCGAAGTCACACCTCGTGATCAGCATCTTATGTGGATTGCCCCATCGACGTTTCAAGGGACCATGGATGCTCTGAAGACTGTACAACACAAAGGACGTTATTACAATAATGTATTGGTTAAAGTAGATACAAGCGAAAGTAGAACCACTGCCAGTCCATTGAAGTATGATTAACTGATATGCGTTGATTGTCCTTGACCTTGACGGCAATCGATGGTCCGTTCGATATTTATTGACCCAACTGCCGGATGATTTAGCTAGAGTTCAGTGACATTTCACTGGCCCTACAATGGAGACAAGGGTAGTGACCTTCACAAGGTGGATAACCCCAACTACTCTACTTAACTCACCAGCAACTTTATCTAGCTTGCAGTCCGAATTCATGAATCTGGGAATATCAAATTCACTGAAAGTTTTAGGTGTCGACTATTCTGACTGTTACATTTGAAACCGTAAGTTTCCGTACTGAAAATGGTACGGCTGACGAACTAAATTTCTTTTAAATGATAATACTTCTTAGTGCCTCAATTTGAAGCCATACTGCGTAATGCCGATAAATTCAACAGTGAATATAATTTATCATGAATAAAACTATAAAAATGGCTACCTTTTATCATGAAATAAAAAATTTGAAAAGTGCTTACTTATGAATTAATAAACAGCTACTCAACTGCACTTAAGCGAAAAGTCCAAACACTTAATAATAACAACCGTGTTTCAATAAAACACAAACACTTTATTGAATAAATAATGTTTGCAACAGACAAGACAAATATCTGTATGGATCTGTGTTTCATTTTCTATAATTTACTCATGATTACAAATTCGACATCTGAGATTCAGATCAGTGTTAGGTCTTTCGTAAATGTTTGTATAGCTAACATAAATAAAATTTTATCTGATTGAATGAGATAGAAAATTTAGACTAAAAGATATACACTTATGATGATTTCTAAAATCAGAATAAAACAGTTGCTCAAAGCTCTTTAGCTAGCAATGTTCCACAATGAACGTTGTCTTTCTAAGGTATCCCATTCCAACAGTAAAAGAATTACTTTCAAGGTGATATTTGATGATTATTTATTTCATCCAGATATTTTTTTACGACAGTGGATAACCGACTAAATGTGCACTGAATTGCGCTAACTTCTTTACATATTGGAAAAACTGATTTTTCTCCAAGAACTATATCATGTAGCATCAATAACACATTTTGGAATGAAATAAATTAACATAAATAATATATATTTATCACGTTTTAATAGCTTATTCGTTGCTAGAACAACTATATCATGACATTTCTCCCAATGATTTTGGATGAGCCATGTTCAACTCTCATGGGGCCGTCGGATAAGTTCTTCTAAGATAACAAATACCCTTTACCGTTTCGTGATAACTCCAACATTTCGGCTATCGATTTTCCTACTTTCTAAACAATTTACGAATATATTTTTATCCTTTTTATCTACTTTAGCTGAATATTTGTGTGTTATCAGGTTTATTCACTCAAACAGTTGTGTAAAAAGTTAACAACATATTGTGAAAATAATTACTGGTAATTTTGACCGTAGCTGTCATGTTGATTAGTAGTTATTCCTTCTATTGTACTCCCTTGAGAAACGAATAGTAATGACACTACAATTCATGCATTATATGAACAAAGAGAGGAAGAACGAATGTCATTCGAATGAAAGAGTTCAAAAAGCGTCTAAGAATAAATATGTAAGGCAATTAATCACTAGTGAAGAATACATTTTCACCACCTACAAGTTAAATGAACTTGTTGTAATGTGACATATTTGTGATGCGAGTTTTTGCTGTAATCAAACACATAGTACTGAATAACACTATTATTAGGTTTGCATAAAGTTTAGGTTATCAACTTCCTGATGATTGCCTTCAATCACCTAATAAATAGAATTATTCAAGAAGTAAACCTCACGTTAAATGTTCTCATTAAGATTTTATCAGTGAAAATTACTAAACAATACTTGTTTTTTTATGAGTCACGGTGCATAAATTACATAATTACAAATCCTGTGCAAACTATATGTATACATCTATGCGACAACATGTTCAACTAAACTTTATAATCTAATTCGATCAAGAATACTCCACTTTTTGAAATGTAACTACTCTAATTTCTTGTTTATGAAATATAGCATCATGATACATTATTCTGATAGTCATATATAGGGTAATTCATGTTATTTCTTTAAAATCTTTAAATTCTATTTAGTTGTACTTCGGTAAGAATACACATACTATATTTGTGGCAATTAAGCAGAACAAAGTTTATTTCTTCCTCCTATTGAGATCTATTAATATCAGTCATACGAATCGATGGAAACAGCTCGTTTGCCCCCAAATGCCCAGGTACGGCCAAGAGTGAAGAAAGTCCATTCTCCATCTCCAAATGCTCTCACATGGCCACGCCTATATAGCCTCTGACACACAAGTCCTACTCAATTCCTTCTTGTGGAGTGGGTGTGGTTTACGAAATTGAGAGGACGAAAAGCGAATATCCGGTGCTTTAACAAGGTTGGTGGACACGGAAAGTCCACCTAGGGGAGTTGAAAAACCCTGATTCCAAACCAATAGTGCACATGGGCTCTAGTATCCTGAGGGAATAAATGGCGTATGAATCAATCGTTGGTCACCAGCTACCATGGGACTGCATCTCCTCACGATGCTCCACTGCCTTGTGGATTAGACCTTCAGGTCAAAGGCTCCGGGTGTGGTCCCCTAAGAAAACCACCTGTTTCACTTTGGGCACCTGGGCAGTATCTCAGTCCTCACACAAATCAAATGAGATTTATTTGGCGCATATATATCTGGTGCCCTTTTGTACTAATATTTATGTGTTTAAATAAATACTGTTTAAAAAAAAACTTTCATATTTTCTATATCGGTAGAATCGCACAAAAAACCCTATTTATTATTATTATTATTATTATTATTATTATCAAAGCCATTGCACTAATACAATACAGAAACTTGTTATATAATTCATTAGTTTAATTTACTAATTTTATAATGTATTATTCAAATTGATTGATTAAAAACACTATAAAAACTATTAAAATATCATAATAATATTAAATTAAAACAAACATTTCAATCTAAAATAATTCTATGTCTTTATATTCAACGTATAATTCTATTTGTTTAATTAATCGTAATGTATACCAATTTTTTTTATAGTTATATGTATAATTAATATATTAACTGTTATTCATATTATTATTATTATTAATAATAATAATAATAATTAATAACTTGAATAAAGGTCACTTTATTGTCATAATAATAATAATAATAATAGATAAATGAATGAATAACTGATTGGATCATCAAATAATCAACGAATTATTTATTGATTGATACTTTGAATTTATTGATTATTTTGAGTTAATTTAAATAAAAATGAAATCGAATGAATATAATATTTTAATTTAAATGAATATACTTTTATTGATTTTTATAATTTTCTTTCTTTTATTTTATTGATCCATTAAATTATTATAAATATAAATGGAATCATTAATATATTTAATAATTTATGTAATATGAAACATTTTATATAAATGTACCTGTATCTTGAAGGAATTTAGTAATTCCAACGAATACTTGAATTTAAAACTACATCTAGAAGATGACTAGACACAATACTTAAACTCACAAGAAATTTTTAAAAAAATATTTCTAATTGTCTTTAATTATCTAGAGATCTGGAAAATACTTCCAGTAAAATTTAATAGTTGATTTATTTGAATTTTCCTAATATCCAATTTGTCAATTGCCTAAATTTTAATTGTGCTATTTATTGCGAGGTTAATGGTTAAATTACGAAACTTTTTTAGTTGTTCTGGACAATATCATTAGGGCTTATTTCTCATTGAGGTATGCGTGAAAGAAAGAAAGAAAGAAAGAAAGAAAGAAAGAAAGAAAGAAAGAAAGAAAGAAAGGAAGGAAGGAAGGAAGGAAGGAAGGAAGGAAGGAAGGAAGGAAGGAAGGAAGGAAGGAAGGAAGGAAGGAAGGAAGGAAGGAAGGAAGGAAGGAAGGAAGGAAGGAAGGAAGGAAGGAAGGAAGGAAGGAAGGAAGGAAGGAAGGAAGGAAGGAAGGAAGAGAACATCAAGCAATCGAAAGCATCCATCTTAGCCGTGCTCATCATTCCAAAATATATGATCGGAGAATACTTCTACTAGGCTTATAATCTTTTCAAGATGAGTCAATATCTTCAAAGTTATTGGTTATCTCTTAAAAACACTTTACTATTTGTCTATTTTGCAAGTTGAGTTACTATTAGTCTAGATATAGTTACATTGAAAGGTAAAAGGAAGTCATTTTGTGATGAAGTATAACTAAATATATTCACTAGATTGTAATCTGTTAAATTAAAATAATTAATCTTTTATGTTCCAGAATGTTTTTCAAGGATATCATAAAATCAAAGCAAAATGAATCAATTATGGTTCATGATTATTACAGGACTATTCAGCTGAATATCAACAATGGTAAGAAAACGTTGACAATAACAAAAATATTGTTATTTGTTGAAGGTAATTAAATTAATCAAGATAGTGTACGACAATTTAAGGAATTTCTACTATTTTGTTTCTAATCTGACGGTTTAATGTTTATTTACCACTGGATAGCTTTAGAACAGACTGCTTCATCGAACTATTTTATAAAACTTTTTTCTCTTTCCTGCTCCTTTAGAAGATACTTTGGTTGTGAATTGACTATTTCTTTATCCCTTAGCCTAAATAAATATTCATTTAATACTTTAATAAAATATCTGTTTCCAAAAATTGTGTTATTTATTTTTTCCGTATGAAAATAAACACTGCTATAATTGTCATCATCATCATCATCATCATCATCATCATCATCATCATCATCATCAGCAGCAGCAGCAGCAGCAGCAGCTTCATTGTCTAAGGTCGAAAATAATCGGTCGAAGAAAATAAACAAATAAACTGATCGATATACATTTGTTGCCATTATTAAGGTTATCAGATGTACGCGCGCACTCGTACTAACGTTAACTTTTGGGTGTGTATATGTCACTAAATCATATCAATTAAGAAGTACTTTGTGACCTTGATGCTCAGGATACTAATGATGACGATAATGATGGTATTTAGAAGTCTAGAAAAACACTGATGTGTGTGTGTGTGGGTAGAAAGATGCATTATAAGGAAACAATCGATATATGATTCAGAAATTCCATAGTTTATTTTTCTACCTCTCACTTGTGTTGTTTGTCTTTCTACCTTACACTGTGTTTTTCATGTCACTTCGGTTTGTAGGCATTATCGTCCGTTAAACTTACTACTGTTAAAATTGTTTTATCCGTTTAATTTAGCGATTCTTAGACAAAACAAATAAAAATGGGTGTATTTACATAATAAGACACAGGCTTGATAGAGTGAAATATATTTTTATTGCGATACAACACCAATTTATGAATCTTTAGAGAACAGAAAAAGCTGGTCTCTAGCTTCAAGTCAACTTAGAATTCTATGCTGAGTACACAGTCTCATATGTCATTGTAAAAAAAGAAAATTAATATGTCGAAATAAACATCCAAATCGTGAAGAGTTTTTTGTAGTTGAAATCATCAGTCAATTGAAGCTAGACCACCGTGGAAAACCTGGAAGCACTGGATGACCGTTTCGTTCTATTGTGGGACTCCTTAGCAGTGCGCACCCACGATCCCACCTCGCGAGATTCGAACCCAGGTGTCCCGCAATAGGACGAAACGGCCGTCCAGGGCTTCCAGGTTTTCCGTGGTGGTCTAGCTTCAACTGACTCATGATTTCAAATATAAAAATTACTAAAATCTCCACAAAACCCCCTTCTGATTGGTGTTCATTATTTGTCAAAAGACAGTCAGTCATAGGCAACGTAGAACCTAGAACATACGTGCATCAATTCAAGTTGCCACGCTATATCAGAACAATAAGATGAAGAAGTATCAGTGTTAGCGGTAGTAAAAATAATTAAATACACACAATCTGATTCGAGATGGGTGAATGAACTCACGGATTAAAAATTATGAGTTAATCGTAAAACTCAAAATACAAAGGAATACACAGTGTTGATGTATCTGAGCTATTAAGGACGATTCTGATCCACGTTTTACAACGTCTCCAACCGTTAGTTACGATTATTTCACAAACATTAGCCAAATAGTTATGATTTGCTACTGACTTACTATCTTTGCCTAGTCCCTTATACGTTACCTCAGCATTCCTGACTCGATAGTCCCAACATACACCAGGAATACTTCGAAGGTATCTGTGACCAACTACTAGTAACCTACGTATATTCTCCATTCTAAAGGTTAGGTTTCACATTCATAGGGTAGAACAGAGAGAACGACTACACTGAATACTCGTCCTTTATGAGCCAGAAAAAAACTCTCCAAAGCCATATGTGACCCAGGCTAGCGAAAGCCGAACGAACTTTTGAATCTGTGCCGAGATTTTGTAATACACTAACCTATTAAGAATGATGAGATACCTAAGATAAGTAAAGTGGTTGATACACAACCGCTTCGTTCGTTTAGGCTTTGATGTATGACAGCCCTGAAGCAACGTTTAGTATTTTGATTGAAAGGAACCCATGCCCAATATGGTTACGTTGTCGGTCAAAGCGTATATAAGACTCAGAATTTTGTCAACGTTTTCACCAAACAGGACTATGTCTACTGCAGATTGTACCTTAGTACGGAAAATCAACTGGTAGATTTTCAATTATTTATAAGTCATATGACGAAAGCACTATCTCTAAAAGAATGCCAATGCTGAAGTTAAATAAGAATGAAGAAAGTGGGAAAACCTGACAAATACCACTTATGATTGTCAGTACCACTTCACGTAATATTAATTTATGGTAATAAAAATAATATATTCGCATGAAGAATGTTCCTTCAAACACTAACTAAATAAAATAAACGAATTTCACATTTTAAAAATCGTCTACATATTTATACTTTCTTTAGCACATGTGTTGTTAGTCTGCCTGTCTATTTATCAATGCATTCTCCAGTCAACTGACATTATTTTATATAGATGAGATCATGAATCATTTGAAGCTAGACCACCATGGAAAACCTGAAAGCACTGGACGGCCGTTTTGTTCTATTGTGGGACTCCTCAGCAGTGCGTATCCACGATCCCACCTCGTGACATTCGAATCCAGGACCTACCAGTCTCGCGTGCGAGCACTTAACCGATAGACCACTGAGCCGGCCGGCATCCAACGGTGTTAATGTCTAACCTCAACCAATCCACATAATTTGCTTTATAAATTAATCAAAATAGCTTAACAGAATATCATTGATTATCCGGTTTCACTTAAATTATCATGAGATTTTTGAAACCATGACATATTTCTCTAGTCACAGTTCAAAGGATTATTTTAAAGATGATCGAGGATCTGTAAACAATGCCTTCGTGCAATAAGAGATTAAGAATGAAATCAAATGACGTTTGGTTACCCAAAAAATATTTGAAATGGCAAAAGTCCAAAAATTTTTAGGTGGTTAAAGTAATCAGAAAGATGCTTTGTGTTCGTTATAGGTATTACTCACCACCAAATAACACCAAAGTTGGAAATGGTAGTTTCAAATAAATTGAGCATTGGGTAGAGAGTTAACAATACATTTATATTTTTGTTATATCTCAATAAGCGGGAAAATTGTATTTCTGACGTTTCGTAACTTAATGTAAGCCAATTCTTCTGAGTAAACAAATTTACAGTAAGTGACGAAACGTCAGAAATACATATTTTCTACACATTGAGATATAACAAAAATATATTCATCAAAGAATAGTTGAATTTTGAATCAGTGACTTAGTATTGAAACATTCAACATGATATTTCATAGTCTAAGTTCAATACAGTTAATGGTTGAGTATTTTGCATTTTCAATAAGACTTAGGAACATTGAAACAACTTTTTGTCTCATTTCAAATTTCCGTCAATACAAAAAGACAACTTAATGTTTACTTTAAATGAGATTTACATAAAATGTGCACTTTATATTGTTCTTTTTTTTTCTTTTAAGGTGTTTGAAAACTTGTTATTTTCTTTCTTTTTTTTTCTTTCTAAAATCATTTAAACCTGTAACTACACCCACACTTTTTATTTATTTCGAATGGTAAAAGAGTTGTCTTGTCAACCTATAGAAAAAGAAAAAAAATCAATAACAAATGAAGTTAGGCTACTATGATTTTAAATGAATCGATTGACCTCTGATTTATAAATGGTCTTTATTATGAATTTTAATGAATTAAAAAAAATCTGTCATATTTATTCAATCAATTATAATAGTTCATTATGATGATAACACTTGAAATAGTAAAACTAAGTTGACTTTTCTATGCTATTTATACTTTAGTGTTATTTCAGTGATTTAATCTTGTATCAAACTAATTTTATTCTATTATTATCAATCTAGTTAGTAAAAACTGTAGTTTTAAACAACTGATTCTTATTTGTTTAAGATTGACTTTGAATTTCTAGCTTTTTTTGTATACTGAAATATGTAATTAATGAACCCCCCCCCATAAAATAAGAATGAAACTCGTCTAACAAATTCCCTTAGGTACTACTACTACTACTACTACTACTACTACTACTACTACTACTACTACTACTACCACTCAAACAACGGAAGTCTATCAGCTTAACTTGATCAATCACTTTGATTATGTAATCTATTATCTATTTGAACTTTTTTTTCACTAATTTGTTGGAATTTGTTATATCTACTTTGATTAGGGTTTTCTACAATTTATATTATTATTAGTAAGGGTTTGAGTTATCGCATTGTTGATGTTCAGGACAGAATTTTAAACAACCTTTGTTAGCGAATATGCATCCAGTTTAGATTGTCTATACAGTTGATGAAACTTGAATCTCTGATATCACTGCTAGCTATTATCAATTTATTGTGACAATCCATACAGAATGTGCATATTCCAACAAAGGTTAATGAAAATCAAGTCTTGAGTGTTAATAATGGGATAATTCTAACATTTAACTATAATGATATAAACATTTTACTCTTTGAACAGATTAGTAGCTATCTAGACTCAGAAGGTCAGTGGACAACAAGTTAGAGTTTAAGGTAAAAGTCACTGAGTTAGAGTTTGAATAGAAACACTAACAATAGGGTACAACTCCATCTATCTGACAAGTTCCAAACGGGAATAAACTCGGATTCGACTGATAGATACAGTCCTTCCATTCTATACAATTTATTTTCGACATAGAATTACTAGATTTCATACAACCACGATTCCTTGATAAATTAAGAAAAACAAAAACAATCAGGCTCGCAGAATAAATTGAATTCATTTTATTTTGTAGCTTTCCATCAACAACTTACAATCTACATCATTACTTCGCAATAGATAGATAAACATAAACTTAATGTCCTCTTCCTCTTTTTATTATTATGATTTCGGTTATGTTTCAAACATTTTTCTAAGCTTCACAAACTAAATTATGTTGAACATTTGTTAATAATCATATTAATAATTGTTATTTTAGGTCCTACTTAGCTAGTGAGAATCTATGGACTAGAATGAATCCACGTTATTCAGTAAATCTTGTTTATTGTTGTTTTATTTAAATTATAATTACTACAATTTAATCGGAAAATTCAGTTAGTATTGTTTATCATTAAATTCTTAGATGAAGTTCATATATAACTAAGTTGTAAAGGTACTATTTGAAGCATATCATAGGTCGCTAGGGTTTCAAAAGGGATAATAATATTTTCCTCTTGTTGCTTCTTGTTTGATGACATTTCAAAGAATAGAAAACCGTGAACTTATCAATGAAAATGTGAAGAAAATTAATGAGAACTAAACGAGTTAATAAAACACTTGACAGTGACTCAGCTAAAATAATATATGTTATGTCAACTTAACATATTTGTTACTCGTACAGGACTTCCGAACTGATCTTAAATATTTCATTCTTAT